TGCTCTCACTTTATACCTAGCAGAAGCTGAGTTTACGAGTGCCCAAAGAGTAAGTCTTGACAGAAAATACGCCTGCATGGGGGACCCACACGAGGTGGGGACGTGGCCGCCGCCACTGCTCCACAGGAACCGAGGGTCAGCTGGCGGCCAGCGCATTCACGGCTGTGCGCAGAACAGCCAGTTCTCACCTGCCGGAGCTGGAAGATCCCTCCAGTCGGCACATCCTTGGCAGGAACCACTTCCACGGGACAGTAGTCGCCATTCTCGTTCTGCTCCAAGATCTGAACCCAGAATTCCACCTTCCTGCTGACCTCGCTCCACCTAGGAAAGAAGGGGTCCGGGAAGCTGCGTTTCCAGCCCGCGCAGGCAGCGAGTGCCGAGCCGGCCGGCGCCAGCCCGTGGGGCAGCGGCTGGCCACGCCGGAGACGCAGCTCAGAGCGGAGTCACGCTATGCGGGGCTGGACACGGTGAAAGCATGGAGAGCCAACCCTTCTGCGCTGGTCTCTGCACACGTGCAGTCAGCACAGGGACAGTGGGCCGGCTGCGGGGGCAAGGGGGCCTGGCCAGGTCAGCAGGCGCTTCAGGCAAACACCTCGGCTTTGACGCACTCCGTGCTGAAGGCGCCTCATGCGAAAGGAAAATGTGGTTCTCCTCTGTATTCAGAGGAGAAGCAAGACAGCAGCTCTCTGGGTTCCTTTCAACTCACTTAGGGTCCGGGCCCTAAATCCAGAATCAACTATTGGACAAGGTGTGGAGGGAAGGATGAGGGGCCGAGCCCTGACCCGGGGACGGGGGCTGGGGGTGCCCAAAGTGCTGCTCTGACATGCCCAGCAGCCCCGCGCGCGTGTCTATGCCGAGGCTGTGTGAATTCACGGGACGGCTGCGTCCTGTCCACTGCAGCACTGTCCACGGGGCCAGGCCTGCGGCAACCTCCGCGCCCAGGACACGCGGTGGGCCAGAGCCGTGGGCTGTGTGTGCAGGGAACCCACTCAGCTACCAAGAAAGGTGGACTCTTGGATGGACGGAGGGGCTGACGGCCAGCAGAAAGCAAAGTACCAGGCGGCTGCACCCGTGTGGAATATTAGGAAAAGAAGCAGACCCGGCAAAATCCCTGAACTCTGGCGGCTGAACAGGGGTTCACTTGAGGGGTGAAGGAGCGGTACGGGCCCTGGGGGCGATGCCGCTATTCTGGTGCATCTGAACCTGCACCCCTAAAGCATGTGCAGTGCTGTCACCCCATACTGCCCCTAAGAAAGAAAAGTGACCTGTAGATCAACAACTCAAGTGCAGTGAGGCCCCGCCAGCGAGCGGGCCCCGGCTCGCCGTAGCCGTGCTGGGCTCCTGACCACCTTCCCTGCAGCCCCCCTCTGCGATGACTCCCGACCACAGGCTTCCTGTGCCCCGGAAGCTCCCGGCACTGCTTCTCCGAGCCCTGCCGCCTTCCGCCTCCCGCCACGCGCTGGAGGTCCCTCCTCTCCACAGTGGACCTGCGCCTTTAAGACCCCCGCGGACACCCCCATCTTTGCCCGGGACCCGAGTGTGCAGGCTGCGCTGTCCCGGACAGGAGACCTCCCTCACCTGTCTCGAAGGCTTCGCGTCTTTGCTTGGATGATCCCCAGGTCCCACACGGCGGGGCTCCTCCGAGGGTCGTTGACCTTGTGGCCGTACACCTCGATGGCCAAGGCGCCTTCCAGCAGATACTCGGTGAAGTCCTCGGTGACGTTCACGGAAAACTCCTGAAAGACACAATTGCAGAAGAGGAGGCGGCTCGGGCTGCCTGGGGCTCCCCGGCCCCACCTGCTCCTCCATCGTGGAGGGACACAGAAGGTCCTGGCGACCCCGACGCCCAGTGGCGGCTCCGTGGCCGGTGCTCCCGCCTGTAGTGACTGTGACTGACCCTTGGAGGTTCCCTGCCAGAGGCCAGCCCCGTCTCCTGTTTTGTTGGCAACGTTGTAGGAGATACTTTTAAAAGCACAAAACTACATCAAGAGCCACATCACCTAGGACTTTTTGACGTAAGTTACTACCCGAAACATTATCAGTGTGTCATAAAATCCATTTTTCCTAGTTCTAAGGAAGCAAATTGCCTCCAGTGATTATTCAGTGCCCAGTGACCCCCTATGAAAAGCCCTCCCACCCCGTCCATCTTCACAAGATGGGGCGAGATGGGGCGTATGTGCGGCCTGGGTAACGGGGAGTGCGTCCGGACCACCCTGGGCACACTACAGGTATTTCTAAGTCTGAGGTTGGGGAGAGACGTCCCTCTCTCGAGAAAACCCGAGGCCGCTTGAGCGCAGGACCGTAGGCAACAGGGCCGGGCCGCAGTCCCAGCGACGCTGGCGCCGCCCCACGGAAGGGGCACTGCCCAGGGCACGCAGGTCCCGCCTGCGCTCCAGCCGCACTGCCTGACACACACACCTACAGCCCGCGTGGACGGCAGCGCCTGCAGCCACTGGGCACACACACCCCACACGCGTGTGCTCACGCAGAGCGGGCGTTCGGGGGCTGCACGTCACCAGGGCCACCGTGCCGGCTTCACGGACGTGCCGACCCAGAGCACGAAGCCCCAGGGGCACGAGGGGCCGCCGAAACGGGCACCTGCCGCCCACTGCACCGAGCGGGCTGGTCTCCTGGCTGTGAGCCGGCAGCTGGTGCCGCGGCAGGTGCCACGGCCGGAGCAGACTTACGTGGCAGTGATCGAAGACCACCATGCACTGAGGCTCCTCGGAGACGGGCGAGGAGGGCGTGTCCACCTCCGGGACAGCCACCACTGGCTCCTGCTGATCCCAGAAGCTGTACTTGCAGAACACGAAGTGGGTCAGGCGCTGCGGCAGCCCGGTGGCCTGCAGGATCTTGACCTGCGGGGGGAAGGCTCTGCTGGCGTCCCTCGGGCAGCGGCACCGGCCCGCCTGCTCACGCCGAAGCTGCTTTTCTGTGTCTGTGGCGGGCGTGGCGGGCACGTGCCGGAGAGACTGACACGGGCAACAGCCACCATGACGACACAGGTGGGGACTGTTTACTGGCTAGCAGGAAGGACGACGGGACGAACATATTCTAAAATAAACGTGATCTGACTGCGGCGTCAAGTAAACACACACGGCGTCTCCGGGGCTGACGGACAGCGCCCAGGCTCTGCGTCCCGCAGCATCGCCACCGCGCCCACTCGAGCCCGGCCGAGGGGCCTCAAGCCGCAGCAGCGCTGGGGCCGGGCCTGGGTGCTGGGCGCAGCCCGAGAACGCAGGGCGTCGAGCAGACACAAACAGAGCAGCGGGGGCTGGCTGCACACGGGCGTGCTTGTTTTTAAATGTTTAAACGCAAATGTCCACCAGGGGTCAGAATTCCACGGTCAAGGTGCAGGACGCTGTATGGGCTCCTCTGACAGACTGACAACGCCAATTTGCCAGTGAGTGCGTGGGCTTCTTTCCTCGTGGAAAATGAAGTCCAAACTTCTCTTACGGGCCCAGCCCTCCTCATATCTGGTCTCCCGGGCGTGGTGCATGTGGTTTTCCCTGCTCACGTTTTAGCTATACAACAGGAGACGCCATACGCTGTACGATAATAAAGCGTGAGCGGTCACAATGTTAATGTGTCAGTAAGTGTGTGAGCTTTATTATCACGGAAAAGCAAGCCTCCTGTTTCTGAGATAACGGCCATTCCTTGCTCAGGGGGGCTCCTGGAAGGCCCTCCCGTCCGAGGGGCGCCAGGCCCCTGGAGAGATGGCCGTGTCCAGGCCTGGGCAGCAAAGTCTGAGGCGCCGGCAGAGGTGGCTCGCCCCAGAAGCAGGTGCGGTCTGCGCGCTGGGTCCGTCAGAGACGGGAGAGCCACCTGGGCCGGAGACGGGTCACCTGAGCTCCTTGGTGTGTGACCCAACGAGGACCGCGGGTCACACACCAAGGACACTCAGCTCCCAGAGTTCACAATGACTGAGACTGAACACAAACCCTAAGAACGTGCCCGGCCACTCGCGCCCCAATGCTTCATTTGGAAAAGCGGCAGTTACGAAGGGGGTGTGTGGCGTGGCATGG